GCCAGCTCATTTCGCAATGAACATAGGGCATTTCACAATAGGGATATTGAGCTATGGCCTGGAACAGATGTATTATCATGAATAGATTGAAGGTTTCCTTGTTGAAGTTATGCCACATTAGTATATTTACAGTCTATTATTAAGATAACGAGAAATGGAATCAAACTTGATGAAATCCATGTCTCCAAGAGCAATTACCTATAGACCTTCTGCAGATTGTGCATGCTTCACTCTTTTAGTCTCACTTTGCTTTGTGCAGAGAACCCATTCTCCTTCGTTTCCCAGATATCGTAAATCTCAGCTTGTATCCCTACAATAATGCTCACAGTTTGTGCTTCGAAGTAAGAATTGTGATATGATGCAGGTATAGAGTAATAGGTCCGCTGTGGGCATATTGAAGCAAGCCATTGAGGTCTATAGTTTCTACTGATTCTAGAGAACCTTAAGTCGCTGCTGATATCCTTGATTGTGTTTCTCTGCTAATTTTCCCGTCTCGAATCCATGAAATTGAGGAACTTGGTGAGTGAAATCTGTGCTTATCCTCCAGGAAGCTTGTCTCTCAAAATCTCGAAGATTAAGGTAACGTACCAGAGGCGACGAAGAGGTAATATTCAGGTGAGGTGCTGCCGGAGATAACATCACTCGCTGCCGAATACAGAACTAAAATCCGTCTCTGGAAGATACTGAATTGCTCCTGCCGAAATTAGTCCACTACCTAGTTCCAGCAAGGCCTCATGGGGAAGGAAGCTAGAGAATGGGTGCCAAAGCGTTCTCGCTTCTTCAATCTTTCAACTACCTCTTCTCAACTTCAGCACTGCCACCAACCAAATACATCTATTTTTCTTTGACTTCATCGCTTTTTTAAATTCAAAACACTTAATTGGGAAAATATATCCAATTTATAGTACGGCGTGGATGATTATACCCGAGACATGCACCCAGCCACCTCAATTGTTTGCGAATGTAACCCTGCAGATGTTCCGTTGCACAGACTCGCTCGGGAACTCCAACTTATCATGCATCACGACAGTAATCCGCGAACATGCATGCTCCGGAGCTATTCGAGGATTACAATACGACGATGACCTCCTACGATCAATATTCTCGCCACTGTATTACTTAAATCGTCAACAACACCGAATTTCTCCTCCAACTCTTATACCATTGTGCTGCCAACAACCAAGACCCCTCCTCCAATCCGTTCATAATTGTGCCTCAGACCGGGTCTGCGGTAGGCTGGTATCAACCGAGTAGCCAATCTAGCTAGCTACATAACTCTCAAATCGACCCGTCCAGAAGAGCCACAAGGCTACCTCAATTTTCAACGACAGAATCCGATCTTGCGCTTCGAGCTATCCTGCGGACCTGCGCAACACCATGCGTCATGATCTACTATCAACAGCAATAATGTAGAGCAATTGAGGACTGAATCGCCTTCTTAGCTGTGCCCAAAACAGGTACTCTATCAATTGCCTTCCACTTTATCGAAACGGAGGTCACCCCCTCCAATGTGGCAACATCTTTGAAAGGCTTCGTCTTCGGGATTGACATGACAGATAGTTCCTCTACTCCTCTCTTTCTTTTGTGTCTACGGGTATCTACGTCAGCTTTTCGGCAAGGACTTGCAATGAAAGTCTGACTTGTTTTGAAATTCGGCATGAAATCTTAATATTATCTGTGCTTCACCCCAGGAACTAAATTTCACGAGGTCCGAAGCTAGATTGGTACCAATCTCATGATAGGAAGAAGCTGAAGAGCTTCATTACCTCTGATATCGTTAGAGTCCTCTGTCATTCCAGGTGTCATCCGAAGTCCAACTAAACAGTCAAAAGCAATTTCGGAAAGCGCCGATCACCAGCACCATACGTGGCAAAGTACAGCGATCAATTCAATATAGTTTCAATACCGAAAGTCCAAAATTACTCAAGTCAGTCCTAGTGGCAGAACAAACGTTCCGTTATATCTTGGAACAACTCCTTGACGGCGCAGAACTATCTCGAAGGGTAACATTCACATCATACATTCACAAGGAGAGGAATGCCGGTCACAGGCAAACGAGACTTGAATATGCTACTAGATGGACGTAGTTACCAAGATTTACAACCATACGACGCTAATTTTTCATGCGTACGAACTGTCCATGGAGCGATGCCAGAGCGTATGTCTAGAATCTTTTGTTGAGACAGGCTTTTGGATGAGAAAAACCATCAGTAGATTCATGGGATTATTTCATTAACTGAGAAGCAAAACCCTTTCAGGAATTCTCATATGCCTTCCATAGCAGGTCAAAACCCTTTCAATTTCATCTGATGGTATGTATCTTAGGGGAACACTATGACCCGATTGCCATACCTTAATCGTACCACAACCTTATACCGACAATAAATGGTAGAATTCTGCCATTTCCACTTCAGACAGGATTTCTTCATGCTGAGATTTTGGTATATTCTGTGTCCGGCCCTATCAACTTACCCAATCCTGTGTGTTTTTCGAGGATCTTGGGAGGCTGCGGCAACCTGGAAATCATCTTGGACTACGGTTCCAAGCCAAACACCCAGACACAACTTTTCTTATCTCTACATGATACTCAATAGCAATTTTTAGGCCCTGACTCGCGTAGTTGCGAGACGGACTACGGGTAAGAATCAGCTAACGGCCAATGCCATTATTTTATGAAGTTTCTACTTTTGCTAGCCATCATGGCCCGCACATCTATCGAAAGCTTCTTTGTAGCTCTACCACAACTTCTTCATGTGTGTCTCCTGCTACATAGTTGGGAGGCTCCATCTGAGCAGGAACCCCATGCGCCTGAACATATGAACTTGGACTTCAAGCTGATGTGCGGAAGGGTGGCTTCTCCTCCGTATGTTCAGGCTTAGCTAGGGGACGTTTGAATTATTCTTTTGAAATCTTTGCAAATGTAATCACAGAAATGGTCTAGAAGGGGTGTAGAAATTAAGATCCAAGTGGTTCTAAAGCAATGAGATTGATTATTTCATCCGCCATCTCAAAGCTGCTGTGTTCCACACAATTCAGCAAGCATAAAATAGGTCAGCAGTGAGATTTCTTATGGCATTGGGTCCAGCTTGGCCCAGAATGACACAATTATAGACATACAAAAGGAAGGCATATGACGAGACGTTCTGAATTCGATGCTTTATTGCCCAGTGGCTTCCCAAAATAATCCTTTTGATGCAATATCCAGATCTGTATATCCTATTCCTTGCTACCTCCAATTGATATGTAGATGCGCGCACAATTTCGAGCCTTCAGTTTGTTAAAAGGCCACAAGATATCATTTGGTTTTGAGTTCAGAGAACCTAGACTTGGCGACAGGATGATGGACATTTCGGCATCGCTACACCCTTAGTATCTGCTGTTTGCAACATGATACTTCTGCACTTATTTAGCAAAAGCTTGCATAGGAAGATAGATTGTCGCTAACCATGAACATGGTGGTCCACGCCGAAGACCACCGAGTTTGCATCTGAAAGGGCGGCAGTGCAGAAACCATGAATGGGACATTCCATACTTCCAACTACCATGGCGACGATCTCGTGAGTCAACGAGTCCCAAGCTGAAGGCGGAGTTCACAAGCCACAACGGTGATGTTTGTCTCAAAGTAACATTCGACAGTTGAACCGTGCAAAGTATGCATGTGTCCGTTACCTGTAAAATAGGATAGACGCTGGAAGGCTGTTCCGACCGACTTCACGGAATCCTCCTGTGGCCATAATCAATAATTACTGAAAATGTCAAAGGAATTCACCCCGCAGAACCACGTTTCAGACATACAAATTGTAGATAGGCTAAGCAATATGGTAAGAGCTTGACGACCTATGGTATATGGTATTCTCTTTTAGAAATTGAATTAGTCTCCATTCGATTGGTAATGGCCCGAAAAATCGGCTTCGCAAAGCAACGGTTAAAGAAGACCTCGGCTCCCTCATGCGGCAACTTCTCGGATTCACTCGAGATTTTGCTGCTAGATTTGCGGCAGTGTCGGACGACATATGTTAAGCCCTAGTTTCAGTCAATTTTTAAAGTGCTCACACTTTCGGTTGTTTTAGCAACCGCCAGATGAAACATTCCATCATTCAACAACGCTACTTCCTTTTTGAACTTTCCTGTTTCCTATCATAGATAGATCTGCCTACAAGCAAAGCAACTTACTTCTTTCCCCTTATTGTGACACTTTTATTGCCTTCGGATTGCTGTGGTGCCTTGTCAGTTCATCAACTTCTTTAAGATCGCAAACCACGACCACAATATACAAACAACAATACCCTCACACACTTCTCTAGATCGAACGGCAGACACCTTGATCTGCTGTCTTAGTTCGACGGCTTGACATTTCTATCGCGTTATTTGTACGTATATCAGCACTCCCTACTTGATTGATTTCGTATGTCTGCAATGGCATTGTGTCGCGCTCTTCTTTGGTTCTATCAACAAACACCAAACTTGAGAAATCTTGGAATATTTCTTTTCATGAGTAATTGACCAGAGCAGCGTGTGCGTTTGCTCCAATATTACCAGTTTACTTTCTCAACAGCTTTCGCACTTCACTTAGCAATATTGATCAGCAACTGACGATTGCATAGGTTTTCAAGTTATTCCTCAAAGTTCTTGGAAGTAAGTCATCTAATTTTCTCATTGTTGTCCCTGCAGCTTGCCCCTGTTTTAACAGAAAAAATTTGGTCTGTGGCTTACCGCAAACAACTGCAGGTTTCCGCAGGCTTTCAACCTTATCTGGAAGAGCAAACGGCGAAGTCATAAGAAGCTTTCCTCAAAGCTCTAGAAGAATCCTTATTAGAGGTCTGTTACAATCATCATTCTTTATCTTTCTTATTCTTAAGATTGGTGGCTAATCTGATTCATCATTTTCAGGATTGTGAAAAAATCTTAATTTCAATACTTTACAACTATACATCGTTCGTACCTTTGGTTTTCACATCTTCTTCATACTCTGATATTTTCTTCCCTATTACATCTTCAACATGGCAACTCAAGTCAAAACATGCTCTAATATAAAACTTTCCAACTCTCCTGAGTCTTCTCACGAAAGTTGTGACGCAGTCGATGCAGTCGATACGGAAATGACCTCTCCACTAACCTCGATTGATAACGATAGTACTCGTAGCTTTACCCCCGACAAGATGGATGCTTTTCATTTGGCTCGCGAGCGCGAAGATCATCTGCGTAGGGGAGCAACACCAACCCAGGCAACTATGGGCCCCAATAACGACGTAAACAACTGGCGCCGCCAGTCTTTCTGCGACCCTGCATACGCTGGTCCAGAAGGATACACTCCTCTAACTATGGTTCGGCCTGGTCCAGTGTATCCTTTACAAGAGCAAATTAGTTCTGCGTATGCATATGGCATCCGTCGTGCTGATGGCTCATTTACACGACTGTTGCCTGCGGATGAGCTCCCTGCTTTGAACGGAATCCCTCGCCACCAAGGCCCAGAGGGCATAATCATCGTCCCAGAGCTCCAACACAGTTCTCCTAAACCAGAGTTTGCGACACCAATGATCCCTAACAAGGTAAGTTGTTGCGAGTTTTGATTTCAGGTGATGTGCTGACATACGTTCTTTGAAGATCGTAGCCAAACTCCCCCCGCTTTCTCCACCCATCTTTGGGATCAACCAGCAAGGATCTTTCCGTCGACCAGGTGATCAAACTCAGGTAAGAGGATATCATTTTTCAAAACACACCACTAATGAAAAGTATATACTCGTACTGACTTCCTTCTCAAGTTGGCTATCGACTCTATCGTTGCTTCATCCGCCACTCCTCCAATGAGTGTCTCTCCAGCTAACAATGCGATGGTTCCCATGGGTGCTCCTATGCGTCGAGAAAAAATTTATTGCGACAAGTGGGTACATGAAGGCACTTGTGCTTTTACACAAGTTGGCTGCAAATACAAGCACGAAATGCCAATGGATAAGAGCACCCAAGTTTCTCTCGGTTTGAACCACGGTGTCCCAAACTGGTATCGTCGCCAACATGGCCTTTCTGTCTCTCCACCAAGTGGATCAAATGGTCAAATCGAAGTATCTGGCACAACACCAATCAGTACAACAGCACGTACGTCTCAATCTTGGCGCCGTAAGGACGTCTCGTCTTTCTCTCTACCAGCATCAACCCAAGGTAGTGCAAATGGTCGTGGTATGTTTCGTTTGATTTCATCCATATATGATCCAACAGTATCTGACTTCATCACAGTAGATCGTCGTGGCTCGTTCGGTCCTATTGGTCCTCCTCATACCCGCCGTCTTACAGCCTCCTCTTCTGGCGACTCCATGAATCGAAGCCATCTTTCTGTACCAGAAAACCAGGTCGAAGAAGATGGTGATGTCAATATGCAATGGAACGGTCGAGTTCGTGGTTATACCAATGGCCATGATCAAAGCCGCAGTCGTCAACAGTAAGTTGGCATGCCAAATTTGCGTTCCAACGATATAGGGTTTTATTTCGGCATCCTCTGCTCAAAGTTTCCACGTCTATATCTCACTTCTTCGGCACCGGTTCTTCTGGCTATACCTCTCTTTCACTGAGTACGATTTGGTTGATCATGGTTTCAATTTTAGGGTCAATGGCTTCACCAACTAGATGATGTGATGATTGGGATGTCTGGCACTAGGGGTATAAGACACCTGGGATAAAAGTTAGTTGCTACTTACTATATCTGGGGTTGCATTATCTGGTTACGATTTTCATTTTCTCAATTTGTTTCTCTTTTTTCTTTGGCTAGACAGAGCTTCTTGCTTACTTCATGATATCGGCATGGCTTGCGTATTCGTTTCAGTTTCAACAGTCTGCATTTGCACAAACGGCTACGAAAATTATATTGCCCTGGTGGTGTGTAATGGATTGAGCGGGATGAATGAATGGGATGATTGAATGGGATGGATGGATGGAGGGAGTTATGATGGTAATGATTGGGATGGGAAATTTTACGGGGGAAAAGAACATCATGGGTCATAAAAAGCGTCTATAAATCGAGGAGAATGATGGGTGGTATGAATGAATGGATTGATGCATGATGATGACATTTTGGGCACGCAGCTTATTCTGCACGAGATGCCTACTGGATAGTAATCAAAAAATTTCTTTGCAACTTGACTTTGAGCTGGTGATAGGTGTGATTTGTGCTTGGGCGTGAAATGTTGTGGTGTGATGTGATGTGATACCAATGGCTGGCTTGTTGCTGCTTGCAGCATACATAAGTTTACGCAGAGTTTGAGGTTATGTTAACTCATGGTAATAGAAGGAAGTGTGGATCGAGTCTATGTACTTGTATTGTCACTATAGATCTACCTATACAGTATAGGAACATGAGTCAGTATCATAAGCACAAAGTATTGATATATATTCCAAAATCGTCACAGAAGATCGAGTCCTCGGAGGCCATTCTCTTTGATATTTACGGTCTACGGTCTACAATGGTACTGTTCATGAATGATATAGTGTGCGGTGATCATCCAATTACAAGTCAACAAATCAACAACTCCAACTACAAGCAGACAGAAAACTTGGTGGTCAGACTCAGATAAAATCCTTGTTGCGAAATTCATATCTTTGTTTTTATTCTCACTACTATCTTCATTTTCATCCTTAGTCTCAGCCTCGCCCGCCTCGTTACTAGTAAACTCCAAGATCAGACTACATCCCAATTCATCACGAATTTGCGAACTTGCGAGTTTTTACTCGAGTAATGCCTTTTCCAAAACTGAATCTTATTGGAGTGGAATCTGAGATGGATTATTGTTATTTATTTGATTTGATTTGATTTGATGTTATGTTTTGGTTGGCGATATGGTATACTGAGTAGATAGCTGATGGTTATTGTTCTGTGGGTGTTGGGCTGTACTGTGAGGCTGTGAGAGATCTTCGGGTTGGGGTTTGGATTGAAATGCTGGGTTAGAAATGCTGGGTTGCTGGGTTATTGGGTTGACTTTGATGGTGGTGATGGTGGGTGGTATTGAGGGGTTTGGGGTAAGGTAATATAAGGTAAGGTATGTGGATTGGGTTTGAGTACTATGAGAGGGTTTGGTTGATGTATACTCTTGATTTTTGGATGCATTTTGGTAATAGGAAGAAAGAGAGGAAAGAAGAGGGAGTGTTATTAATTTTGTAGGCCGTTAGTCTTGTATATTCGAGATGGATGGGGCGAGGGTATAAGATGAAGTGAGGTGAAGTGAAGTGAAGTGAAGTGAGAATATATGTATGAGCTAAGCGAGCAATTTTGGATAAGGCTCTCATAAACTAACCTGTGGATATTCAACGCCTTGGATCTTGTGTGTTCTGTGGATTTGGAAACGATGTAAATCGAGCATATATGTGACTCATAGTGGGTGGGAGCTACAAGTCGGGCGAGCAAGAGCCATGGGGTCCGAAGAGGAGCACTACCCGGAGCAGTCCAATGACGAAAAGAACTTTGCGGACTAGCAGCTTTCAAAGGACTTAGAATGAACATGAACGCTTTATCGAAGAGGTTGGATGCCAATCTTAAGCAAAAAACAACTGTGATGAAGGATCAAATAGAAAGCGAGCATGGTAGAGAGTTGAGAGTAGGTAGATACTGATCGAGATCAAGAAAACAGGGATCGGTCTCGAATATAACAATTTACTTGAGATGATATAAATACCAACATCATAATCCGTTCGAATTTATCCTACCAAGAACCTCATCTCGAATATCTTGCTATAAATCTTGTTTGTGGTCGCAGAACTGACTTCCGTGGGAATAATTATAATTGCTCGTTTCGGAGTTTTGGCAAGATTCCTCCACAATGTATTGCAGCAGCACTGCAAATCCGTTTCCCTTGAGGAGATCAAACTAAGAGTATATTTTAATTGCATCGCAGTCTTAATCGGCGAAAAGGAAATGGGAATATGAGCAACAGCACCAGCACTGTCCTCAACATCCTTCCAATGGCATATGCTTAGCCAGAGCATCCAAAATTTGCTGTACAGTCGTGAATTCCCTCGTCCAGCACCGCTTAATTACCTCTCCACCAACCAATCCCGTCACATCTGGATACATCCCCTGCTTAAAGAGTAAAGCTACTCTATCCAGATAATCCCAATATTCATCAGTGCTACTGTAAAAAGCCTGAGTCCGATACGGCCAGTATCCCGTCAAAATTGTATAGAAGATAGAACCAAGGCTAAATATATCCACAGCCGTTGTAACCTTAGTATAAAAATCCAGAGCAGGGTGGCAGAAAGGATCGTTAGGAAGTTGTTCACCATCCAGTCCTAATTCATCGCATACCGCTCCACCAAAATCACAGAGCAAGGGTTCTAGGATACCCGGGCCTGTTTCGTGCACGAGGATGTTTTCGGGACGAAGATCCGAATGGATTACCCCGCAGCTATGGATATAAGCAACAGCTTGCGCGGATTGGTAACACCATTTTTGGCGTTGGAATAGTTCGATTGAAGGATTGTTCGCATCGATATAAGTTTGGAGGTTGCCGTGACTTGCTTCGCCAAAAAGTAGCCCGTTACCCCGCTTTCCTAAATATCTCAAAAGATTTGTTAGAGCGAATGATTACCTGTATCCTACTAATGGGAGGTATACTTTACGATTCTCGGATGAGTCCCGAGACGCTGGAGAACGCCCGACTCGACAGCGAAGGCAAGCTTAATTTGCTTTGCAACCCCTTCGTGGTCTGTTTCTAGAGGTGATTTGAGAAACTTGTCCTGCGGGATTCGTAAGCCGTTAGAGGTTGAGCCAATACGTTCTGGAAGGTCTGCCATTTTGAAAGAATTTGCAGAATTAGGGACGTCCAGAATTTGCAGGAAGAAATCGAGTGCAAAGAGACCAAAAGTTGGACTTGCGGCAACCGAACGAAGGAGATGCGAAAATCTAGATGATCCAACTACAGAGAATCATCAAGTACGAATTCAAGCCGATGGCTTCCGCCAAGCAAAAAAACAATATGCAGTCTGCATGCCTGCATTGTTTGCCGCACCACCACATCAACGCCACCGCCTAGATCAACTGGCCAGTGTTGTAGAGAAAACTTTCTTGTAACACTGACTAATATAAGAATAAGCAAAGCATTAGGAAAATCAAAAGGATTTGCTATAAGCATACTGCTATCCATGCGATCTATTTTCTTAGCTATATATATCTATTGAAAGAAGTTACGAATCAGGGTATGCATCATTAGCGTTGCCATTCTTTTCCAAGTCTGATTAATGATCATGACTCTAATTTGAAGATTTATCAATCAAATGTAACTTTTCGATTGAGAGGACTTTTTGGTATATGTATTATGGCATGAATAAGAATTCCTCGTAGAGGGAAGATTAATTTCTGTGTTTGTGTTTGTGATGATATTCTGAGTGAAGTGAAGTGATGTGAGGGTATACTAGGTATGTTTGAGGTAAGCGAGATGTATGTTCAAGATGGGAAGAGGAAGACTCAGTTTCGGGCTTGATAGGGTGTGGAGAAAAGAGGTGGTTTGGGTTGATTGGTTTATAAGAGTCTCTTCTGGGTCTCCCTGGTTTTTGGTGAAATACAATCGAGATGTTCTTTCGATGTCAATCTGAGTATTTGAAGAAATAATTAAGTTAATACCTTTGTAAAAATCGAAATCTCAGTTCAGAAAACGAATGGGAATTCCTGAGAGATCGAGTCCACGTACAGAAGCGAGTGAACGTGCATGATTCATAAGAACATTTATTCTGGATACTATCCAAATCACTGAAAAGACTGTAGAGTAGCACTAAACTAATATCACAAACACCAATTTCACATCCTTCCACTTTATTCCCGCACAACAGAAAGCACCAACCAAAACCATGAGCTCATCACCCTTCCAACTCACATTCTCCCCAATCTCTTAACCCACGGTCCTCTATTCGTCCACTCCCCCTCTGAATCTGAGTCTGAGTCCACTCCATCTTCTCCTACCATTTTATGACCATTCGACCCCTCATCCTCCCTTTTGAAAATTATAACTACAGTATTAGGATTTTTGCATAAACCTTGCAGCGAAAGACATTTGTTGGTTGTACAACAGGTTTGCATGCAGGCGGAACCCGAGCCGCAATCGGAATCGATGGTGCAGGAAGAAAGTGCGGCGCAGGGGGTGTCGGCCATGCAGTAGCCTGTGCCATTTACGCTTGGTTCTGGGGGTTTGTTAGTGGGTTGGGTTAGGATGGAGAATGGGATTGAAATGGGAATAAGAATGGGGAGTGGGGAAAGTGGGATTGAGGAGGGTGACATACGACACAAGCAGGTATTATCTGAAGAGCAACGTTGATTTTGGGAACAGGCGACAGGGGCGTTGCATGTAGCGACGAGGGGAGAAACGGGAGATTTGGCGACGGGGGTTGAGGACGGAGCGATGAGGGAGGCGGAGGTGGAATAGAATGACATTGAACTAGGCAGGGAAGTAGAGGTGTTTGGGAAAGATTGGGATGTAAGGGTGGATGAGGAAATAATGATAGAAGTCGTAAATGAAGGGAACGACGATGAAGATGAGAGGGCGGATGATATTACTGGTGTTGAAGTGGAAGAGGGGACCGAGGAATCCTGGCTAAGTGATGATAGAACCATGGTAGACGATATATTCAAACTGGAGCTTGAAGGTGAAATATTCAGTGTTTCTGATGTTAAAATTTCTATGCTAGAAGCGAGAAAGTTTGAGGATGACGCACTGGGTACCTCTGACGTAGATTCGAGGGTTGTGGAAGTTGCTAATGTGCTCTGAGTAACTGTAAATTCTGAGGCCGAACCTAATGCTACGGGGAGTGAGCTTGAGGTTACAGTCAATAGTGAAGAAAACTCAAAAGATGATGAGCTGCTAATCTGAGATGGAAGACTGAAAGACACAACGCTAGAATTAATTATAGCAGTAGACGTTGATGATAGACTAGTCGACGCCTGCACGGGAAGAATTTCGGATGCTGGGCTACTGGATGAAAGATTTGAAGAAACAAATGAAGTCATTAGCGCGAGGATTTAAAAGCAGACCAGAACATATACCATTCGTAGATGTGGAAACCATTGCTATATTCGAGCTCGAACTAGAGGTCGAAGGGGTTTCTCCCACTTCAGTGGTAACGACAGTGCTAGTTTCCACAATATTTGAGATTGAAGCAGAAGACGAGACTCCTGGGTAGCTTTCAGATGAAACCCCCGGTGCATTCACAGTAGTATACTCCGTTACATAAGAAATGGGGGCTGTCACAGTGACTGTAGCTACCACCACACTCAGATGGCTTTGACATGCTTCGACATAAGCACTATGATTTTGACAAGCACTCGTCGCATATGGCGGGATAGTTTCCGTGGCTGTGCTTGTGATAGCATCCTCCGTGGTTGTGAGTGTGATGGCATCACCCGTGACTCTACGTCTATGGCAGTGATATACACTATATTTGTGCTGAAATCTGTATATGTGATTTCGTTAAGTACGACAGTTGTTATGCTAACCACACTTTTCCATGAGTTAGTGATGGAGGCTCTAGAGCGATGGAAGATATGGACGTACGCAGAAGCTACGTAGGAAGGAGTGACGGTTGTTCTCATATAACTAGAGCAATCCAATTCTCTCACATCTCTAGCAACATGATTATGAGAGCCACCGATCACACAGCCACATGCATCGGAACCTTGCCACCAATGTGCATTTGGTAGAGCGAGAAAGGAAAGAATAATCAAGGATTTCATCGTAGGATTTAGTTTTTGGGCAATGTATATAGATAGTGCTTCTTTGGTGGTAAGAGTGAATTCAGTGACATTCGAGAAAGGTCACATACAAAGCAAAAGGGACGAGAAGTGACCGTTTATTTATTTACGAGCACATACACATTCGCGTTGCTCCAGAAATTCTCCAAGAGGCATGATATGCGTCTTGGAAATTAAGTCACTGTGACGTATATGAAGGTCGCTACAAAATAACGTAAACGAGGAGACGTGAAGAATGCTGTTGTGGGCGCAACGGTCACTAGATATATCGAATATTTGAACAATATTGAATATTTCGGCCACTTATGCAACATCAGAGAATTTCTAAAACGTGATGGGAACCTCAGATTCATAATTCGAAGTAATGTAGCGTGTTGAAATTTTCCATGGTAATTTCTCAACACTAATTGAGATAATTGCCCAAGGCTTCTTCTGCCCAATATAATCAAAAGTCCAAAAGTCCAACTCAAATATACAAAATTAAAGATGGGTATTTAGCTTGATGATTATAGAATGATATGTAGTCTATACATAGAGATACTGGTTGCCCCCATGGACACGTAAATTCTCCATCTACTTGACGCCTTCCAATGCACGGTCTTCGGTTCCGCTAGCCCCATCATCACCACCCCATGTAAATGCTGCGTAGAAACAAGGTCCCCGAAATTGTATAGGCATGTTATCATCAAGGCCGTTACAAATCGTCCATCCACCAAATGCTGTAAAGATATGGCTTGGTTGCCGGAGAAAGTATGACACATTGCTATGTACAGACAATGCGGAAGATCGGTGGCCGTTCATACAAATCTTCCCCTCTTTCCACCCCCACCGGAAGAATCGTCTCCATGCCCTAGATTTCCTAGATCGAAGAAATCTCCAAAGTTTATTTTTCGCTTTTGGCCAGCTCCCCGACCTATTGCAGTCGAAGATCTAGCATTTAGTCGAGAAGTATGATTGTTGTGTCTTGCGTTAGTCCGTAGAGGTCGAGTAAGGGATATACCCGCTGGCTGATTACTGAAACCATCATGGATTTGAGGACAACCCTTATCCGATAAATCTAAATCTGACAGTAGGATATCGGGATCTTGTGGATATTGTTGCGAGGATCGAAAGGTAAATGTGCCTTGTGGAAGCGCTGTAATCGTTGGAGGTTCTGGGTCGGGTAGTATAACGGTCGGAGGTGGAGGCGCTGACTCTGCTCTCATTGGTGAAGCCGCTCTTGTTGGTTTAGGAGTCGACGCCGGAATATGTGTTGAAGTTTGCGATCTATGAACAACTGGTGGGGATCCACTATCTGTTTTTTCGGGAACCTCATCGTCGCTATCGTTGTGTAATGCTTCCCGACCATCTAACCTCTCAGTCGCCCATCTTCGAATCCTCCAACCCTCGCCATCGCTCAACCCAATATCTTTTTTGTCGAGGAAAATCAAGAGGTCATCCAGTGCATCCTGGTATCCTTCTGCCCTAGCTCTTCCTTGATCTGCGGCGGCGGTCTTATAGAGGTTGGTAACGGACAAAGCGGCGGCCTTGAAATGTGCGATGAGAGCCTGTTGTGGGGGTTCGCTATTCTGTTGTTTTGAAGGGGATTTACCCCCCGGAAGAGAGCTGTTCAAAGATCTCATAGAGTCCATGATTGTTGTTGAGAATGGGTTTGTGCTGAGTTGCTATAACAAAGGTAAATTAAACAGTCAGATGGTGGTCCCGGGAGGACGCAGCGGGATCAAAATATGTTATGTACCTAGTAATCGAATTGATCCTTGACTCTCCCTCACAATGTCCTTGTCTTATATGTGAAGGAATCGAACTGCAGAAATTCAAGTAAATAAATCTCATACAACTCTTGGCCTCAAGTTTAAATAAAGAGTAGGTAGGTGAATGGAATGGATGATCTTACAACGATGACTCCAAATATAAGACGTATACCGGTAGGTACTTGGTACTGCCGCAATTACAGTAGCTAGTGGAGCTCTTTTGGTTGTTTTTTCGATTTCGAAAACAAAGAAGCCATGACTTCTACTTGGCCCGTGGTATGGTTATTTAGTTATTCCGATCCGAAATCGTTACCCGCGTTCATTCACGCCTGTGCTGGAGATTCTGTTCTATAAACGCGAAATTCCTCATCGCATCAATTTCTCAGTTTCTCAATCTCAAGTATTTGACCCAAATAACTTACTCATCATCAATACGATTAATACCTTTTCATTCAGTAAACGACTGCTCTTTCCCAGTGCATAGGAGATACCCTTCTTCCAGTTGTCACCCTAGAAAGGGTTGAAGTTATTCCAAAATGGCACCAACACGCTCTTCACGCAATAGTGGCGTCGATACAGATACCTCCATGGCGGATGCTTCCGAAATTAAGCAGCTGCCTGTTGACCCTATGGTATGTTTTGTTTTAGCCTTTTGTCTATTATATATCTTCTTCAAAACCCTGGAAGGCTCTAGACATACTTCAGATAGAAGCATTCATGTACTTACTGGCGCCTTAGGATGTCGATGAAACCCCAGATTTCACAGAAGATTCTGACACCAATCCAAATACAACAGAAAGCAGTGTTCATGGTGACGCATTAACAGCAGACGGACGAAAACGAAGATCAGAAGCCACTCAATTACGTCGGAGTGTTTTTGGCAAAAAACATGACCGTCTTGGTGAATCTAAGGTAAGTCTACTGGCTTCCATCAATTTCTTAGTTTTCGCAACTGATTGACCGATTGATTGTAGGAAGACGACTCCATTCGACGTTTCCGATATCTTCTTGGCTTAACAGATTTGTTTAGGCATTTCATCGAAACGAATCCAAACCCGCGCATTCAGGAGATTATGCACGAGATTGATCGCCAAAATGAAGAAGCTGAACAGAAAAAGAAAATTGCAGATAGAAAGGGTGGCGCAGCCAACGACAGACGCCGCAGAACAGAGGCAGAAGAAGACGCAGAGCTCCTTAAAGACGAAAAGGCTGGAGGATCTGCAGAAACGGTATTTCGCGAATCGCCGGGTTTCATTCAGGGGGAGATGCGAGACTACCAAGTTGCCGGGTTGAATTGGCTGGTTTCTCTTCACGAAAACGGTATTTCAGGAATTCTTGCAGATGAGATGGGTCTAGGAAAGACTTTGCAAACAATCGCATTTTTAGGCTACCTCAGACATATCATGGATACCACTGGTCCCCATCTAATCGTCGTCCCGAAATCTACGCTTGATAATTGGAGGAGGGAGTTTACAAGATGGACACCGGAGGTCAATGTTTTGGTACTCCAGGGAGCGAAGGATGAGCGCAATATTCTGATCAACGAGCGACTTATTGATGAAAAGTTTGACGTCTGTATCACGAGTTACGAAATGATTCTTAGAGAGAAATCTCACTTGAAGAAATTTGCTTGGGAATACATCATTATTGACGAGGTAGGTTTATTTTGGTACCCCAAAGATAGTCCCCTGCTGACTGAATTAGGCCCATCGCATCAAAAACGAGGAGTCTTCCCTTGCGCAAGTCATTCGTTTATTTAATTCACGGAACCGACTTTTGATAACTGGTACCCCGTTGCAAAACAATTTGCATGAGTTGTGGGCCCTTCTCAACTTTTTGCTTCCAGATGTTTTCGGTGATGCGGATGCATTTGATCAATGGTTTTCTGGCCAGCAAGAAGATCAAGATACCGTTGTACAGCAATTGCATCGCGTATTGCGCCCCTTTTTGCTTCGTCGAGTCAAGGCCGATGTCGAAAAGAGTTTATTGCCCAAGAAGGAGATTAATCTGTACATTGGTATGTCCGATATGCAGGTCAAATGGTACAAGAAGATTCTGGAGAAGGATATCGACGCAGTCAATGGAGCTGGTGGCAAACGCGAATCGAAAACGCGGCTTTTGAACATTGTCATGCAACTTCGAAAGTGCTGCAATCATCCGTATCTGTTCGAGGGTGCCGAACCTGGTCCACCTTACACTACCGATGAACATTTGGTCTTCAATGCTGGAAAGATGGTCATGTTAGACAAACTTCTTACACGCATGAAGAAGGCTGGCAGTCGAGTCCTGATCTTCTCCCAGATGAGCAGACTTTTAGACATCCTTGAAGACTACTGTGTTTTCCGCGAGTTCAAGTATTGCCGAATTGATGGTGGCACAGCCCACGAGGACCGTATCTCAGCCATCGATGATTACAACAAGCCAGACAGTGAGAAATTTGTCTTCCTTTTGACTACCAGAGCTGGTGGTCTTGGTATCAATTTAACCAGTGCCGATATTGTTGTACTGTACGACAGTGATTGGAATCCGCAGGCAGATTTGCAAGCTATGGACCGAGCACATCGTATTGGACAAACGAAACAAGTTGTGGTATACCGATTCGTTACTGAGAATGCCATCGAGGAAAAGGTTTTAGAACGTGCTGCGCAGAAGTTACGTCTGGATCAACTTGTTATCCAACAAGGTCGTGCCCAGATCGCTGCTAAGGCAGCTGCCAATAAGGATGATCTCTTGAATATGATCCAGCACGGAGCCGAAAAGGTTTTCGCAACGGCTGGACCAACAGGTGCTCTTGCTGAAAAGGGTACAGATCTTGACGATGACGATATTGATGAGATTTTGAAGCATGGCGAGAAGCGTACTGCAGAGCTCAATGCTCGTTACGAGAAACTCGGTATCGATGACCTTCAAAATTTCACATCTGAATCTGCTTACCAGTGGGATGGTAAGGATTTCAGTCACCAGAAGAAGGATATCGGTATAACCTGGATTAATCCTGCCAAACGTGAGCGCAAGGAGCAATCTTATTCCATGGATAAATACTATAAACAAGCTTTGTCTACTGGCGGTCGGGTTGCAGACCCAAAACCCAAAGCACCTAAGGCCCCCAAACAAGTCACAGTCCATGATTACCAATTCTTTCCACCAACACTACGAGATTTGCAGGATCGCGAAACTGCATTTCATCGTAAAGAAATTGGTTACAAGGTTCCTCTACCAGATGGTGCAGACGAAGATCTCTCGGACCGGGAGGCCGAACGTAACTTGGAACAACTGGAGATTGACAATGCTACTCCTCTTACCGAAGAAGAGCAAGAAGAGAAGCAACTTCTATCTCAGCAAGGTTTCGCTGAATGGAATCGTCGAGATTTTCAACAATTCATCAACGGTTCTGCAAAATATGGCCGTAAGGATTTCAACATGATTGCTGAGGAAGTGGACAGCAAGGAAGTAGAAGATATCAAAGGTTATGCCAATATTTTTTGGCAACGATACACCGAAATTGCGGATTATGCCAAATACATCGGTTTGATTGAAGCTGGTGAAGAGAAAACGAGAAAGATGGATCATCAACGAAAGATGTTGCGCAAGAAAATGCAACAATATCGAGTGCCATTGCAACAGCTCAAGATCAACTACTCAGTATCGACTACAAACAAAAAGGTCTATACTGAGGAGGAAGATCGTTTCTTGCTTGTTCTTCTAGACAAGTATGGAGTTGATAGCGATGGTATCTATGAACGAATTCGTGATGATATTCGTGAAAGTCCCCTTTTTCGATTTGATTGGTTCTTCTTGAGCAGAACCCCTATCGAGATTAGCAGAAGATGCACAACACTTTTGACCACGGTTGCAAGGGAATTTGACGAGCCAGCTGCAGTCAAAGCTTCAAATGGTATTGCAAATGGCAAGGCCAAAAGAGAACCTGAAGATGATGAGAATGACGAGGATAGTGTATTGGGCATGGCACCTGCTAAAAAGAAGTCGAAAAATGGTGTTAAGGCATGAATATCTATATCAATCATATTTTTATATACATGCTAACTGTTTGCATTAGAACAAGGCACTTGATAGCGTCAAGTCTACTGTTGGTAGCAAGGCAGCTTCAGCAACTCCATCTTCAAGAGCTTCAAGTGTTCTTTCAAATGTATCAAGTCCAGCACCAGTTTCGGCTTCTAAGAGCAAGTCTAAGGGTAGAAAGAGATGAGGATGCGCATGAGGGAATCAAGCTTCAAAGCTGGTTCGTGTTACTATTATGAAAAGGATTTATTTGTCAAGTGTATTCAATCAGATGGCATGGCTTTGGGTAGGGCGTTGAAAGGGATTAATTGATGTGAGCTTCTTGACCAGATGGGCTCGGGATACGTGGTTTTAGATGGCATGTTTACATTATGATATGTAGACAGGTAGTGAGTGAGTTGATTACTTGCTTTTAAATGAATATTAAGAAAATTATTATATTTGAATATTCTTGGGCTCTCTCTAAGATTTCAAGGTGTGGAAGAACTTTTGATACGCGATGATGATGATGATGATGATGATGATGATGATGCTGTGAGTGATGATGCTGTGAGAGGATACGTGGAGGGTGCGAGGTCACGGTGGAGTGGTAATGAAATGTACCTATGGACATGGTCTACCTCATTCGTTGATATGTCTTATTAATATCGACGACTCACGCCCTCTCATTACACCCCTCTTAATCCATCCCTTTACCTGCCCTTCCTATACCTACCCACCTCTCTCTATACCTACCTACCTGCCTACCTACCTCTATCTATTCACCAGCTATTCACCAGCTATTCTCTATCATCCTATACACAAACCATACAAACCATACCACTTCAACCCACATTCACACCCACACCCAGCGCATATTTCATATTCCTCAATCTCACCCTCTCACCCTCTCACCCTCACTCACCCTCACTCACCCTTCCTTCCCTCCTCCCTCCTCCCTCCTCCCTCCTTCTCTCCTTCTCTCCTTCCTCTCTTCCTCCTTCCT